TCAATGCAGTGCAAATACGAATATATTCGAGAATAAAAAAAAACACACGCCCACAAGGCAAAGAAAATTGTGTTAATGCTTTGTTGAAATTTAATGAAATTGTAAATTGTGTTTTAAAAAAAGGTTGAAACACACTCCTTTAGATTTTCCTCAATTATATTACATAAATAAAAATATTTTAAAAAATTAGTTTGCTTGGTATTTTTGTTAAGATATTTCAAGGTATCTTTATTTTGGGTTAATTTTTTTAGAAGGGTTTCAAAGTTATGTAAAATTTTTAACTTGAATAAACTAATGTAATATTCTAACATAATTACAAAATAAAATTTGAAATTCTAGTAAGCTTAAAAATAATATTTTACTTCAGTTAAAATAAAACAGTAAAATTCATTAATCATTATTTTTCTTTTTCACAGTTTCTAACAGAAAAACTAACTTTTAGTGAAAGAAAGCTGTAAGTTATATTTTAGTGAATATAAGAATTTCCAAGTTTCAGAAAATATCACAACTGCAGAAAGCAGTTTACGAATTACGTTAGCTTAAAAAATTTTATTCCATTTGCTTTATTGCAAAGAAATTAATTTAAATAATTTATTTATTTTATTTAATTAATTAACTTAAACAATTAATTTATTTATTTAATTAATTTCCTTCAAAAGAAATTAATTAATTATTTTTTTATATTTTTCTCGGTTGGATATTCTTTCGATTTTGAAGAAGCTTTATAAATGCAAACCCAGCCTTTTTAAGAAAAGAAAAATCATTAGAACGGATAATCATTTTATTTTTTATTTTTTAATTTTTATCTTACTGTTTGTTTATTTTTGATAAGTTTCCTACGTTATATCATCATAAATATAAAAAAAAATTTAAAAATTTTATACTTCTTCAACAAACATAAATTACTTTAATTTTCTTTCTTTTTCTCGGTAAAATTTTCAAACTATTTATGTTTAAAAATAGACGTCTTTATTCATTTATCTTTTAAACGCGAAACCTCACCATTTTTAATCTTTTTCAAGATTCTATGTTTAATTATTATAGGCCCAAAAATAGTTTTCGTGGTATAATTGTCATGCCTTTCAAAAAAAAAAAACACACACACATTTTTCACATTTTCACAACTGTTTTAAAGACAATTAGAAATTATTTCAATTACCTATCCAATTTCTATTCAGACTAATTTTAAAAGTAAAACAGTAAAATCCAATTTTTTGAAAGCTGTTGACCAATATAGTTTAAAATTTTTTTTTATTTAAGCTTGATAGAGTAATAAGTACGTATTTAAATAAATGAAATATAAAATCAAATTAAATTACTAAATTTCTTTTCTTGTTTTTTTTTTGTAGATTGGAATGTGTAACCATATACTAATATATTCAATACATCATTTAGTCATTAAGTACTGTAATTTCATATTATTTATGTAAAATAACTTAAACTTCTTCTTTTTGTCTTTGTAACGTTCTTTGTCTTTTCTTTCATTTATTTCCATAAAATACATTTTTTCTGAGTTCTCATTGAAATTAATTTTATGCTGAGTAATGTAAAATCAAAGGTAATTGAAATAAATAAATTACGTTATATGCTAAAAGGAGATATTTCTGTATTGTGATCTGTGACGCCAACTAAAATTGCCAAAACGTCAAATGGATTTTAAACTTGCAATTTTTTTTCATAAAAATAAAAACATGTAGAGGTTTGCCGGTGGGTGGCTACAAGTTATACCCCTTAAGTATGTCTCCAGTGATTTTTTTTTTTGTTGAAGTTTTTACCGGGCTGGTACTGGAAAGTTTTCGTTATTCGGATTGTCGATTATTCTGCAGCAGATCACGATGCAAAAATCTTCTACGCTGAAGAAGTAATGTGTCAGCATTGTACATAGGCCATCTTTACTGCCTAAACAAACTGGTATCGACCAATCAAAAACTGAGTGAGCTTTAAGCCTCCACTGAGAATCCAACGTCAGTCCTTCACAATGACAACTCTGCGTCTTTAAGAGCTGAGCCACTAGGGCTGACCGAAGTGTGTGTAAGCCTAGTAAGTGGCTGCGTAAGGCACCGAAATCAAGGCTAGATTTAAATATAAAAACTTTTCACCGTTCCCGCCCCTCCCCTCTAAAAGCTTTTTTTGCTTTTTTTTAAAAAAAAAAAGATTAAATGAGCTTATTTTTCCAAAAATAAAGAGTTCAAATGTATCTAATACACTGGTAACAAAATAACCCTTTAAACCGTGTAGCAGTGCAGCAATCTTTGTTTTAGATCTTTTCACCAGTGCCGATGACATTCTGACCTTAAAATTTAAGATCTGCAGATGCAGATGACGGTCACTCATACAGACTAAGCAACACCTCCTAGAAAAGAGAAGGCCTCAGTTCGGATCAATTTAGTAGTCCGACATAATGAACATAATTTTCGCAACGGAGAAAAAAACGAAAGATGTCATTACGCTTGAACTACTGAAGGATAAAGTTTCTTTTTTATGATAACCCGTACAGAGGCCTTCTGTCTTCTAGGAGGCATTGTACTAAGGCCTGTTGAGTTTTCTTCCATATTTCTTCAATAGAACCCATTGAAGACGGGGAGAGTGACTTACCTACAGTCATTTTACCTCCCAAAATGTTCTAAGAAAAATTTGCTTTGTGAAGGTAAGGGCTTTTTATGTAAAGAAAAATGGGAAGTTGCAAATATTAGTGCAACACTGAAAATTGGTATATTCACAAAAAATTATTAATATAAATTTCTAAGAAAAGCAAATAAGCGAAAGATGATTTCTGATTTGTCGAAAAAATTACCAATTACTATCTTAAAGGAAGAATATAACGGACACTCCTTGAATTTCTTACTGCACAGTATTTATAAAGAATGTATCCATCTAATATTTTAATTAGTTTTTCAAATTCTGAAAGTATCAATGATTTCAAATTCAAGTTACTTTTTGCTTCTTTCTAAAAGTAAATACAAAATTGATTACTTCCCTTCAGTTAAATAATAATTTTGCAAATTTTCACTTTTCTGAATGTAATATTACTTTAAAAGTTTTATAATCATATTATTTTCTTTTATTTTACCAGTAAACGATTTTTCAACAATGCTTTAATTTGAGTTTTAAAAAAATTTAAAAATATAAAATTATTTTCCTTTTTATTAGTATGAAATAATGTGAACTTGTTGGATTATTTTTTTTTTTTTTTTATTAAATTAGTTTTATTTTCCTCCCTTCTATTGCACTTTCTTTTTCTGTGATTTGAAATATTTCCTCTTTAAATTAAAGTAATTAATTAATTTTTCTTTAATTTCATAATTTTGTTAAGGCAGACTTTCAAAAAATAATATGCCATTTCATTGATTTAATAGTGATTTTTCAGATTTCAAAATTTTATGAACTTTTTATTTCTGTGACTTAATTTTCCTTATTTGTGATTTCTCAATATTAAACTTAAAATTCCGCCAAATTTGAATAAAATTAAAAATTATAAGATTGTTTGTCACCTCTTCTACTGATAGATTATAATCTTTATACAATAAATTTTCTAAAAAAAATTCAAAATATTGGATTTTGTTTCCTTGTGTTAAAATTTATTGCTTTCTTACTTTTTATTCTTTAAATAGCAATATTTTTAAAATTTCCTAAATATTTACAAATTTAAAAATTGCATCACTGTATGTAGTTTTTTTCTAGAAAGCTGTAAAAATTTTGAAATTTTATAAAAGCGTCAATTTTTTGAGATATTAAGACATTTATCACATTTATTTTTTAAGCTTTAGTTATTCATTAAGTTTTAGTGTTTTTTAAATTTCAGTGATCAATCGATTTTGGTGATATATTAAGTGATCCGGAAATTAATGACGTTTTTGTTACATTAAATGCAACAATATATTTTAACTACCTTTTCAGTTTAATCAATGATGTAAAGATCCACGTTATCAGAAATCTTTTGCTATCTAGCCTACAAAATTTAAATGCCGAATTGATGAAAATCATTTGCACTTTCGAGCAAAATATCAGGAGCGGCCATTTTGGAAATGTTATAGCAATCAGAATGCATGGAAATCTGATGATGTAAAGTCGAGTAATTGTGATGGATGATTGAAGTACACCTACCTTTATTCATTAAATTTTACACTATTGTTCAAGACCTTGCTGTGCGAAACAATGCATGAAAAAAAATTATGAATAGGAAGGATGAATAAAGTAAAGAAATTTTCTGATATTTATTATAAATATTTAGTAGTGAATTTAAATAATCAAGTAAGAAACTTTTGAATAAAACCTCTGTATACATATTAAAATCAAATGTGTACATTTGATAAATTTTTCTTTTTTTGCAATTTTTTGTTAATGTTTTGAATTTTGACATGCTAAAATGTGAATCAAAACGAAATGTTTTACCTTGTTATTTAATTTTTTAATCATTATCAAATAAAATAATACCTAAATATGAAAAGGTAAGATATTCAGATTAGATTTAGATATAAAGTAATTCGTAAGATATTAAATTTTAAAATATAAAAAGACATAGGTGTTGCACGCAATCAATTTTTTTTTTTCAGTTAAGAATTCCAGGCATAAATCATAAGTTGATAAAATTTTGAATGTAATATAGATATCTAATATTTTGATTGCTCTTTTGAAATTGTTTGGGGTAGAACAATTTTTTTCGCTGTATGGAATTTAAATAAATGTACATTATTATATAAGCATTTAAAAAATAAATAAATAAAATTTGAAGAATTTGACTTGTTTGTAAAATTATGAATGAAATTTATTTTACTCCGTACATATTTATTATTTTTATCCTTACATGGTTGCCACTCTTTAGTTCTCAGGACTGAAATGATGTGAGAGCATGTAGTGTTGCCATAAATAGAGAGTTCTGCTGTACGCCACCTATAGCCCATTTCTATTGCTAATATTTCTCAGAAATAGTTTACTGCCATCTATATTCGATTTACAAAATTAACAACTCTTATGAGTTTGTTTCGGTGTTTTAGAAAAACAGAAATAGGTGGCTATCAACTCTAGGTTTTTAACCTACAGCTAGTAACAACAAACAAACGGGAAAAAAAGCATTTGACACTGATCATTTATTCAAAAAAAGACCTATTAATTCAACTGTTGAAAAAATTGATCTGTCAAGAGTAGTAGGGGGGAAATACAAGTAAGTTATGGATATGAAAAAGTATCTTGATCTGTCTAGCCAACTAGAATAATGGATTTTAAACTTGCGCATTTTTTTTTTTAAATAAAAACGTATAGAGTTTTGCCCTTGAGTGGTTGAGAGTTATAAATCTCCCCTACCCGAGTTCTCTCCTTCTGTGATTTTTTTTTCTTCTGATAGTTTTTGTTGGCTTAAGTTACGAAGACTTGGAGCACAGATCGCAATCCTGAGATTTTAACTTTATTTCAATTAGTCTTTACACAAAATTATTTTGTGTGGCATCGAAATCATGGGTAACAACCTTGGTAATTAATCACTTAGTGCTTATATTTTTAATGGCAGTCTAAAATCGAAAGAATTAAGGTTTTTAGTTCAAAACGGATATCCTGTTGACTTATTTATAAACATATCTGACAAAAGCATGAAAATTTATTTTATAATAATTTTTAAACTTTACGAGAAAACAATCTAATATATCCTTTTTTCTTGTAACTTTTTCCTTTGAAACTAATTGATTCGGATTCAGGAAAATTAATCTCAATTGCAAATGATATAATGTTGATTCCAGTGTTCAAATTGCCAGTTATAACTGACAGAGTGTAAGCATCAGTTTTGAAATTTTATTACAGATGAAAATTTTAAAGTAAGATAAGACCTTATAAAAGGAATTCTTACAACTGTATAACTTAAATGTGTATAAAAATGATTTTACCAAAATGTGTATGCTATGTCAAACCGTGACATTTTTAATCTTATAATAATATACACAATAAGCTAGGTAGGAAGTGATTGGAAATTTTAACAATAAATTATTTAGTATATCCAAAACTTTCTTGATCTGGAATAGGGTTGGCATTAAATCCCTTTATTTTTTAAAAACTAATCATTGATTTAAATTGATTTTTTTTAGTACAAAATCATTGATTCAGGTAAAAAATATATAATCTTTTATATGGTATAGTTTTTAAATAGTATAGTTTTTTTGTTGTTTTTTTTTTTTTCCAAGTTCGATCTCAGTGGTAGTAAAGATTTTATACAGAGAAATAACCAGAATAAGTCTGCAGATTATTACTTGATGTTTAAAATAGACTTAATAATACAGTACAGAACCAGTTATCCGGAAATCAGAAAACCGGAAAACCAAAAAACCGGAACGAAATTCGATAAATTTTCCCGCAATTTTTAAAAAAAAAATTTTCCTCATAGGATTTTTCTTTCTTTTTTGAAAGATGTTTACCTTACAATCATTTCAGAAATAATCATTAGTGTATTACCTCATCGTTTTTTCTTATTTTTAAGATTATTTCCAAATATTTTATTTTTTTAGTTGGGTTTAACACTAAAAAAAACGGCTTTTTGTAGCGATTCAGAAAACCGGAAAAATCAGTTATCCGGAATAGCGATAGTCCCGATCGTTCCGGATAATCGGTTCTCTACTGTAATAAAAAAAGACTGAACGTGGATTAAAGTGATGTGAAATGTTAAAACTTTTATGAACTGTATGTAAAATTATTTGCTGTTTAATAAGCATGTTTCACATATATCTATTAAATTATATGTTTAAAATTTATTAAACATGCAGTGTATGTATATTAATAATGGTGAAAAGTCATTCTGCAAAGAGAGAGTAATTTAGAATCTTTGTTTTTTTTTCCCCTTATCTAAATTAGATTTGTTTTTTTTTTCATTTGATATCTAACATATTTTGTCTTTTTCTTTACAAATTCCTGAGAGTATTGAGTTTGAATAGAAGCAGCTAAGAGTTTATTTTCTTCAGTAATTAATTTGTAATAATTGTATAATAAAATTTTAGAATTGTTTTTAAATAATATTAAACATTATTTGTATTTTTTTGTCGAGCTCTGTTTGTTATGTCTAAAAATTCAAAATAATAATTTAAAATTAAAAAAATCCAATTTGAATAATAAAAAAAGAAAAGCATTTATCATGTTTTTTGCCATTTGTGGTCAAGAAAATTGCCAGCCCTGATTATAAGTTCCTATTTATTTATTTCTACTTTATTTCAGAATATCGCCAAAAGTTATTGGCTGCAGCAAGAAGGTTAATGAAGAAAATACGAACAGTTGTATGAGAGTCACAACTCACATCCAACTATGTCTACTTTTTATTTCTGTAAGTGCCTACGTATATAGTTATGGACACTGGTGCTCTAATAATTAACATTTCATGATATCAAATTGAAACTGACTGGTCATTCTGCTTTTTTGTATCTTTGAAAAAGGTTATAATCATCTCTACAGTTTATGGATTTTTATTTGATTTCATTTTAATTAAAAGTCTCATTCAGATAGTATATATATCATGCGTTTTAGTCGAAAAAAACATTTAAATGTCCAAAATGTTACTCATAGTGAAAAGCCTTATTCTTGTGTTGTATGCAATGTTGGTTTTTCTATAAAAAGTTCTTTAATTAGGCATGCTCTTGTTCATTCGGGTGTAAACCCATATTCTTGTAATATATGTAATAAGAATTTTTCTCAGAAAAATAATTTAAAAAAGCATAATTTAATCCATACTGGTGAAAAACCTTATTCTTGTAGCAAATGTGATATGCAGTTTACTCGAAAAGATCAATTAAATACGCATAATATTGTTCATACTGGTAAAAAACCTTACTCTTGTAATGTATGTAATATGTGTTTTTCTGAAAAGAGTATTTTAAATAGACATAATCTTGTTCATACTGGTGAAAAACCTTATTCTTGTAATGTATGTAATAAGTGTTTTTCTCAAAAAGGTCATATGAGAGAACATTATCTTATTCATACTGGAGAAAAGCCTTTTTCTTGTACTATATGTAATATGTGTTTTTCTCGAAAGAATCATTTAAATAGACATAATCTTACTCATACTGGTGAAAAGCCTTATTCTTGTAATGTATGTAATATGTGTTTTTCTCAAAGAAATGATTTAAAAAGACATAACTTGATTCATACTGGTGAAAAACCTTATTCATGTAATGTATGTAACAAGCGTTTTTCACTAAATAAGCATTTATCTAGACATAATCTTGTTCATTCTGGTGAAAAACCTTATGTGTGCAGTATATGTGATATAGGGTTTACTGAAAAAAGATCGTTGACTAGGCACCAACTTATTCATTCTGGTGAAAAGTCTCTTGTAGTATAGTCAAAAATTGATGCATGTTAATTCATTTTTACTTGCTGCAATGAAAAAAGTAAGTACTATTGTGCTAATGCTAATATACTTGAAGTAATAATTAAACATGAACATTTTTATTCTGGTTTTGTTGTATAAATAAAAATCATAAAAAAATTTATATATATATTAATATTGTTATAAAGATAAAAAACAGAAATTGCAAATTTAAAGCTCCTCCCTAAATAATAAAACTTAATTGTTAAGGACAATTTATTGAAAAATTATTTAGATTAACTTGCAGACTTGTATGATTTACGTCTGTAAATTTTACAAGTATGCAAGTTAATCTAAATATAATTTAAAAGTGTATTTAAACTAAACTACAATCAAAGTTTTTGATTCAATTATAAGTATTAATTTTTCTTTTGTGTTTACTCTATATTTTTGTCTATTCACAGTTTCAAATCTCTTATAACTCCAAAACTACTAGTTGTGGCTATTTAATATCAAGATTGTTTCTTTAAAACATTATGTTTTGAACTCAAACAATTTTAGGGCGATTCCACTGTACACAACCAGATGGTCAAGACATTAAAATTAATAATATGCAAACGATCTATCATTTTAAAGGTAAGAAACAGAAGATTTAAAAATAATGACTTTCAACTTATTAATATCAGTTTTCAATACGCAATTGACTGTTAAATGAAGGGCTACGTCATTCAAAATTTTTTACACGAATAGTGAATCTCTAAAAAATAGTTTGTTTTTTTAAAAGTTTTACATTAAAAATGAAATAAATAATAATTAAAGTAAACTGTATCATGACAGGTTATCTAGCACAAATGTGTAGAAGCATTTCATTCAAATTTTGATTTTAAAAAAAATTTCCCAAGATGCACATTTAATATTTTACTTCAGTCTTGAAAATATATAATTAATTGTATTCTACCAATAAGATTTAGCATAAAAATATTTTTTCTGTTTAAAGCAAGATTCTATGTCTCATTTGTATAGTATTGTAATATATTTTGATTTTGAATGTAATAAATTTTACTGGAATAAATGTTTTTACTGTAAATTATTTTTACATCATATTTTTCTTTATAAAATTAATTGAAATATGAATAAAACCATCTATATATTCTTTTAATTTAGTTTAGAATATTTTGTTTCACCCCAGTAACCTAATAAAATCTGTATAACTATGCTGTACCTAAAGCTATTTGTATTATGAACTTAAAATTGATTTTTTTTTTATTATGAACTTAAAATTAATAATTGATAAATAATATTAAATTTTATTATTTATTTTTTAGAGATAAGCAACTAAATTTAAATTTTTGGATAATTAAATTTGTTTTTTTATTTATTTTATTTTTTTTTCTTTGAGAAAAGCAATTTTGGCCTGTATTCACAAAAATTTGTTGAGTTTAAGCATATGCTTTTACTTCAGCTAGCACAGATGATTCTTAAAAGGTTACCTTATGCATTCAGCAGATGTATGTATGAGACCTTTCTAATAAAAGCAAAGGCATAATTAGGGCTTACAGTGCCAAGGGCAAAATCAGTTTTTGCTCCCCCAGATGCATAATATATAGTAGATAATATAATCTCGGGCTTAAAACCAAATTCAATAATTCAGCTTTTCATTGAATAAGATTTTGCAATTTTAAATTAGGATAACTCAACATCTTGTAAACATTCATCTGATTTGTCGAAAGTCGAACAGTACATGTTACTAATGCAGTCTCTGTTACAATTAGATGTTTATTATTTTCGATTGAATGATAAACGTTTATTGTTTCTTACTGCGACGCCAACTTGCAAAAAATTATAAATCGACATGCAAAACAAACTTCAATGATAATAAACATCCTATTTAATTTTTAGGTAGCTGGGATAAAAATGGGAATTAGTTAATGGGCCTGTAATTAGCAGATAAAAGTATTTAAAAAAGGAAAAATTTTATTCTGAATTTCATTTTAACTTATTTTTTAAAAATTTAGGGGAGAGATATATGTTCTCTCTTGCCCTCCACTAACTACGTCACTAAATACAAGATACTTGATTAATATCGTCTGCTCTGATACATCAAACAATAGATAGTAAAAATGTGTGATACGATTATTTAATTTTATACAGGTGATAAAAAAAAGCGATAAAATAATCATTTTGCCAGCTAAATCTATCTCTTTTGATTTTTTAAAAAAAAATTGTTACAGAATGTAAAAAAAAAAAAAAGATTATGTTGTAAAAAATTTTTCCTTTGTTTTTCTTTCGTGTTATCTACAGTTCACAAAAAACAAAAAAAAGCTACCACCCTGAATGACTTTTATTCTAATATCTGGATCTTCACTTTCCATGACTCAATGGTTCAAAGGGATGACCTCAAATATGCTAACTAATTAGTGCAAACTATATTTTAAGTTTCGAAATCAAACACGAAAACGGACTAACTCTGAATAAATTTACCTTTTTTTCGACGAATTCGGAATTCTGACCCCAAAATATAGGGAGTAGTCCCAATAGTTTGGTCAGGACTGTGGTCTGAAGCTTAGACCCCTAATGTTAAATACTTTTTGCGTATTTCACGTTATCTCGAGAATTTTTTTATCGAATCGAAAATTTTTTGCACGCAATTATGAAATTCGTTTATCTAAAGATAATTCCGTGCACAATCAACTTAGTAAATATTTATTATTTTAATTAATAATAGTCGAAAAACTTTTGAATTGTTAGGTATACAATTTATTGCATCATTTTAAAGAATACAATTTTAAATGGCAAAATGCAGAATTTGTGCGAAATCGATCAAATTGGTCTTGAGAAATTTAATTTTAAAAATGCGAATTTTTCATATAACGAATATCATTTTACCATTAAACTGACTTTTACAGGATAAAAAATGTAATAAAACACATTGATCCACCTCTTCCAGCAGGAAATCGATGAAAATTTAAAGAAGCTATTTAATGGGAAAAAATAATGTTTCAGTATTTCAGATAAAAGGTAGAATTTATAATGGAACATTTGGTTTTAAATTAATATTTTGAAGGAAAAAAAAACTAAAGGCGGAAAACACCAAACTAATTATTTTGGCGACATATATTCTCGAAAACCTGGATTTCATATTGGTGAGACTGCTTTGAAAGATACCACACGATGGAGAACGATAAAATATAATTTTTACATAAAATTAAAACGTGTTGTTTATTGAGTTACATATACCTAAAGTTTAAAAAGTATTTAATAAATTTTATTTTTTCTTCATAATCTTGCATATTTTTTCTTCATAATCTTATGTATTACTGTTCGTTCAACTATCATTAATTCGACCAGCATGACACCCATGTATAAACTTAATACTACTGCAAAGGGTTAAAGTGTCGTTAAGTTTCAAATTGCGTTTATGCATCAACCATGACGTTTGTTATTCATTAAAAAATATACTATTAATATAAAAAAGATGAGTGAATGCTTCGGTATATTTTTTATTTAAAATACACCCACAGTAGATTAGGTGATATACTAGGAACAGACATCGTTAGACACTGTCTGTTCCTAGTATATCACCCAAGTCAAGTATTGCTTGCTGCGGTCAGTGTGTGGTGGGTGAGAGCTTTGATTAGCCTGCGAAGGAACCGAGTAAGTGCGTTATGGGTCCTACGATTCTTGAGGTTTTTTATTCGACCTTAATATCGATTTAATCCAAATATTTTTCTGCAACATTCAAGAAAAGCAATTACGTCAAACCACGAAAATTGACTTGTCTTTAAAATTTCAAATAACTTGCGCAGCTCTAGTGCGACATAAATAAAGTACCTATCTTAAAAATTTTCAAGTTAATTTCTTACGATCATTTTAATAACGAGACGTAGTGTATTTCTATGGGAAGAATCCACTCTTTTGGTCACAAGAAGGATTTGGAGAAAGCAAATCGAGTTAAGTTGATTATCGTCGAGTCACCTTTTACTTGGATTCTTCTAAATTTCTCAGACTATTTCTCCTTTCATATGCAGCATCATTTCTTAATTAAACCTAAAACACCTTCTGATGTTTTTAAATTGTGGCTTGGGTTTTTAAATTGCGGCTTGGTGTGCAATGCATTCTCACTGCATTAGAACAGTCTTACTGCATACGACTCGCATATGCTATCGAACGTCAATTTTGCAGGCACGTCAAAAGAGCAATCACATTTAGTTTAAATGAACTAGTGCTATCTGCTGTTGTAGTTCATTTGGGTCGCATTAGAGCTGCACAAAGGTCTATAGGTGACGGTCTGAGAAATATCCCTGAGGATGATCCGAAGACATGCCATCACAATTTTGATCCTCTGTAGAGGGGATGGTAACCCCGCTTCACTAGCCCGACCACCTGCACGCGAAGCCGAGCAATTTACGATAGAACAGTTTAACGAGGACCAATACCGCACACTCTTGGACCTTACGCAGACTAATCCAAATGGTCAACCACCTGCACACTGACCGCAGCCAGTGCTGTTTGACTTCGGTGACCAACTAGACCAGTGGTTCCCAACCTTTTCTGAGCCATCGCCCCCTCTTGGGGTTGGTTGACACACATCGCCCCTTTTTCTTTTTGCTCAAAATCATTCATTGCTGCTTGTGAGCACCCAAACGCTAAGTTATATTTGATTTTAATTTAAATTGTAATGCAAATAGGGAGGCAATTTTATCCAGCCATTTTTATTAATTAAAAAAAAAATGTGCATCCTTTTTTTTTCAAAAATAAATTATTTTTAAAATGGAATAATCAAAACAAAAGTACATTTTTTAAAATTCATATTTTAATATAATCAAGAAAAAGTTAAAACGTTTGCAACTAAAATTTGAGGAAAAAATGAAGAGTGAGAAAGTACATTTTTACCACTTCAATGACTGCCCTGTGCTTGGTTTATTTCAGTTAAAGCTTGAATGTCAGGTTTTTTTGTTCGTCAGATTTAAACGCAGGTCGCAGGTCTCCTTTGAAGCAAATGTCCAACCTATTTCTTTGCTTTGTCAGGNAGTACATTTTTACCACTTCAATGACTGCCCTGTGCTTGGTGTATTTCAGTTAAAGCTTGAATGTCAGGTTTTTTTGTTCGTCAGATTTAAACGCAGGTCGCAGGTCTCCTTTGAAGCAAATGTCCAACCTATGTCAGGAGCTGTATGACAGAACTAAATCCTCTCTCCACTAAATGTTGACGGTAACGAGATGAGGAGCGGCTCAGTTTGTTTCCACAATTGTGGATAAGTGTCTCTAAGCTTTACCCAAGCTAACTCGTAACCGTATTTTTTAAAGACGACTTTAGCATACTTCAAATCTAGAAACTCAGTCTGCTAAGAGGAAGTTAGCTTATCCACAACTTCAAAAGAGAAAGGATCGAAAATCCAATCCGGAATTTCCAATTTCATCAAATCTTGATTCCATATCAGTTTTTAACTGGTCAAGGTGATCAGTAAAAATTAAGATTTTATTTTCGAGAATCTCGATATCTGCCATTGACCACTTTCTAAGAGTTGGAAATTTGCATTAACTCTTTGCGACCAATGTTTGACTTGTAGATATCAAACTTGGCGATGAAGATATGATTTCTTTAGCCTTGATTAAGTTCACTTTATTTCCTTGAAGTTTTACGTTTATTTCGTACATTTTTTCCAAATATCCGTGAGGTACGCAGTTTCTAACTTGCGTTGCTTCAAAATCTCGCTTAAAACAGGATCAGTGGTGTCGAAAAACTCAGTAACCGAGTGAAACGATTCGAAAAAACGACGCAAGCAGTTTCCTTTTGAAAGCCATCTCACATCTGTATGTAGGAGCAAGCGTTCGAAATCTTCATCATTTTCACATCAAAATTCTCGGAACAAACGGTCATTGAGAGAATCAGCTTTGATTTTATTGATGCCAGAAATGACGAATTGTAAAGTGTCATGCAGGGCAACACTCAACTTTTTTGCAGAAAAATGTTGACCATGAATGACACAATGAATGGTGATGACCACCACAGTACTTCTTTTTTATGGTGCGCTAGAAGCCCAGTATGACGACCAGACATGGCAGGAGCACCATCTGTCACACAAGCACTTACGTTTGCAAGGGGAATTTCTTTTTCCACAAAATAGTCTTTGACCAATTTAAAAACCTACGAACATTTTTTATCAGTGATCAAAGCTCTTGTAAACAACTTTTCCTCGTTCATCCAATCTCCTTACTCTCATATATGAATCTCACGTAAGCTAATACAATAGCACAGTTGAGTCATCAATCTGCAACGCAAATTTACCTTCTCTCATAAATTTGATGAGTTTTGATTCAACGTCTGCGGCCATCTCATCAATAAGCCTGGAAACAGTATTATTGCTCAGAGAATTTATCTTATTGCTCGATCGCTCACCCAACATGATTTCAACAATTTTTTTAGTAGCAGGTAAAATAAGAGTTTACCAATTGTGTGAGGTTTAGAGTTATATAAATGTTTCGTCTATCAATCCGTTTCTCCTATTATATGCCTTTTTAAATCGGAGGGATGGGAATGAGACGAGAGAGGAACATTTGAAGAGAAGAAGGTATATAAAAGACCATGACTTTCAACAAAAGAGAATTCTTAAAGGTCAAATTTCAGCCAGCGATACCAAAACGTATGACGAAAACGATCCTGAACTTGAAATATTTTAATTTTTAACTATCGTAATTCTTTATCTACACCAGAACCATAAGCTTCATATATGTTTTCAATTTCGATCTTAAATAGCTTTTGTCATTAATATTACATATTAGCAATTTTTATCTTTTCAATACTCGTCGCCCCCTTATCACCCCCCTAAGGATTATCGCTCCCATGAGGAGCTCTATCGCCCCCAGGTTGGGAACCACTGAACTAGACTATCCCCTAAAATTCTATTTTCCTTTTATTTTATTTTCGATCAACACTCCCCGCTGCTTTTTACCCCCTTATTTTACATCGATTGGAGGTGCGTGCCTTATTGCATAGGTACTCCGTTGCTCATATGCTACACCTCTCGCCCTTGACTTCGGTGATCTGCTGGGAACCGTGTCTTAACGATCAGTCCACTGCGGGACACTAGTGCTACCTACTTCTTGTTCAAAAACAATTTTTAAGATATTTTTTTAAAATTTTGAGTTGGTTTGTAAGGCAAGCAGAAATAAGTAGCTATAAATGGTACGTTTACTAGATTGCCAATTTTTCAAAACAAACAAACGAGCGTAGTGGAAATTTGTACAAGAGTATTTTGTTCTAGAAGCAATAAAGTACTGCAAAAAAAGTTTGCATTGTGTAAGTATGATATAAAGTAGACACTTTATTAAATCCTATTATTTTAAGATTAGGCTATATTGAAGAAAACTATAATTTGGTATAAACTGAATGAAATGGAAGAGATCCTGAATGAACACAGCTCATTCAAAAATTAGACATAAATGGGTTAAAACTATAGATATTTTATTTTTTATGATATTTGACGTGATAAATGAAACATCTAATGGGGAGCTATTTTGGACACATTAACAATTTTGTCAAAATACCATATTATATGTAATTTTTAACTCATGAAGTATTTTTTTAACAATAATTTTGATGTTTATCTTCATTCTGGCTTATATCTAGAATTACAAAGTTGTTTTGTTTTCCCATAATAAACTTTTTTAAAAAAGGTTGAGCGACGTGGCTAGTGTGTGCGAACTTGATAACTTGTATTTGTGTTATCTAACTCTGAAAGATTTATCTATAACTAAAAATGCAATTAATTTCAATCTAAGCCTTATTGGAATATTAACATTGTTATATTTTAATTAAAGTACAATTATAATGGAGCATTTTACAATATTGAGAGACAGTTTAAATACATTTGAAAACTATTATTCAACTTGATTTAACTAAAAACAAAAACTCAATTTTTAGTTGAACCAATTTTAATGGGTTTATCTAAGCCCTAGCTTTAAATTGATGATGAAATGGCCCAAATGGACAGCATGGAGTGCATGGTGAAGCAATATTTTTCTTATTTGAGCAGTGTAAACAAATCACGAAAGTGAAAACAGGATTGTTTGTGGTTATTCTGTTTTAGTTTAATGTATGACAAAAAATACATATATATGAAAACTTTGTTTTCTTTATTAATTCATCTACATTGAATTATATTCTTTTAACAAACCTGATAAAAAAAAAACTTATTTAAATTTTCTGAAAACCTTTAAAAAAAGTGACTTCAGACTTAAACCACTACTTGTATATGAATAATTCATTTTACAAAATCATTCTAATTTAGAAAATAAATAACATAAAATGTATTATATTTGTAACAAATTCATTCATTCAACATATCTTTTAATAAAATATCTGCACTAATGCGTATTTTGTGTGTCTACTTTTGTCCCACAAAGACAACTGTTTGTTTGAGCCTACTGCTGATTAATTGAAATTATGCAGAGCAAAAGTTAATATCAAAATTAGTAATAAAAAAAAGTATTATTATAACATATTATGACTACTTGTTGAAACTTTAAAAAGAAAAAAAGATATAGTAATAAAAGAGTAAAGAGAAAATTACTTTTGCAACTTAAAAACCTACTGTTACAAATTTCTACACAGTATTCACAGTGTTTTTATACAACTACTCATAATAGTGTTAATCAATGATGCCCATCACTCACAGAAGAAATTTGACTGAAAAATAATAAGTTTAAGAAAGCTAGAAAATAAAATTTTCTAGCTGTCCATTCGAGGCCCATGTCCGAACTACACCCTGTCCCGTATTATTCATATCTATAAAAAGTTTTGTATTATAAGCAGGGTTGGCAAGTTTTTGACACATGACAATTTTTACCATGGTTTTTACCGTCATGTCAAAACCCCATAGTTTTGGTAAGACTTTATTTTTATTTTTATTTGAGTTTAACTGCTTATAATTTAAAATTAATTCATTTTTCTGCAATAAAATTAGAAAAAAAGTTGTTAATAAATATTTAAGAACTGATTCTTGCATTTTCCCAACATGAATATATCAAAACATAATATTTGAAGTAAAATATTAGGATACTTAAAAAATTTTTTAACATTTCCAAGCATCATTTTGTTTGGCATATTACATTACTATTACTGAAGAATGTCAAGATTGATTACTTTCATTCTTAAAATCTTGCTATGAGAAACACATGTACACATAAAAAGAAAGCCTCATAAACCCCGTGGCAGAAACACGGCAACACAGCGACTGAGTTCTTGCAGAAAGATTTTTTTTATTTGGGAAATAAAAATTTTTGGTTTGCCACAAACAAAAGTTCTCAAAATAAATTCTGCAGAAACAGAAGCTGTTTTACCAACAAAAAAAATCATTTTCTTCAGAAACAAAAAAATTCTGCAGAAGCAATAATGGTTCTGCAAACTTTTTTTCTTACAGANAGGATACTAAAAAAAAATTTCAACATTTCCAAGCATCATTTTGTTTGGCATATTACATTACTGAAGAATGTCAAGATTGATTACTTTCATTCTTAAAATCTTGCTATGAGAAACACATGTACACATAAAAAGAAAGCCTCATAAAATAAATTTTTCTTATCAATTTTACTTTCAATATTTTACATAGAAATGAGACATGTAAAAACCTGGGAAATCCTTTTAAAGTTTCAATATTTCTGTATGAATGTATATCCTTCTATAAGAATACACGTATATAGTTGCAAAATCAATAGCAATCATTTACAACATATTTACCTTCTCTCATAAATTTGATGAGTTTTGATTCAACGTCTGCNTTGCCCGCTATATGCCATAAATTAAAGAAAACAGTTGGTTTTTGACAGTTTTTACCAGTAAAAACACGGTTTTTACCACTGTCATGTCAAAAACCAGTTTTTGATGGCAAAAACCCAACCCTGATTATAAGCTTTCTAAAATTAATCATTTTAAACTTAAATAAATTTTGGTATTTCATAAAGATATTTCTGGAAAAATTTCTTTAGTTTAGGTGAATTTAAGTTTTAAAAAAATTATAACACTATGTATAATTTCAATAGTTTTCAGGTTCGATTGCTTTGATTTTTCTTCTTAATAAACAACTAATTAACTATTGACAAAGTATGCAAAATTTTATTGTGCTTTAAATGTATATAATTTCATAAAACCTAAAATGAAAAACATAATCATTGAATTTTCAATAAAATTCAGATCAATTTTGCATGGTGTTGATTAATTCTATGTCATTGCTTATTTACTTTTTCATTTTTTCATGGAAGGAACAGATATTTAGTTAGTCTTCATAAACATTTATTTTGTGTGGGACCAAAATTGTGGGTATGTTATATAAGTTGGTAACTACTGTAATAATTAATAACTAGGCACATACTCTGTTTTTAATGACGTGTTGTCTATAATCAAAAGAGTGATGCTATGCAAATTTTTATTCTACAATTTTAAAGATAACCGAGAGAAACATGGAAACTTACATTGTAACTTTCAAAAATACTCAGTAATCCTCGCCTCAAAAAGTGAGTAATCAAAGGCGTGATTTTAATTTTTTGTCTCGTAATATATATGGTCAATTTCACAGTATTGTGCATGTTGTGGACTTGACATTAACGAAGTTTGAATACTCATAATTAGGGCTGGGATAGCCTGGTTTGTAGGGCACTGGGCTCATGTCTAATAGGTTGTGGGTTCGATCCCTGCCGGCCAAAGACTCCCCATGTAGTAAATGGTGACTGGTGCTCCTCCATGTTCCTATAACAAATCATACGTCTGGGGGTACTGATCCAGGAATTTCCTTGTCTTCTGGATTGGTTAAAAATTATAAGGCTACAGAGTTGAATATTAATAGTCGTAAACCCAAAATTGGGTCTGCTGCTTAACTGAATATATGTTGATTTAACCAAACCGCTATTTGTTGCATTTCACTATTTAAAATAATTTTATTACCAAAATGAAAATTCAGCGTTGAACCATGAGGTAGCTAGTTCTTGAGGATAATCTTATAATAATGTTCACGAAACCATGTTTGGATGATTTTTACAGTTTTATCAGTGTTTAAATGTATCCAAAACTTTCCTTGTTCTAAAAGTTTTCCAACCCTCAATTTAATTTTGATTCCTTTTTCGAATTTTTATTTTAGAATATCATTAAAGGCTATTGGGTGCAGTAGAATGGTTAATGAATGAACTGCGAATGGGTTTTGCCTGAGGATCACATCAACTTAAAAAAACAACTAAATAAGGAAACAAATCTGCTGTTCCTACTTAGCAAGGCAATTTTCCATCTTTGCCTTAATTCAAGAACGTAATTTTTCATTGTATTTCATTCTATGAATATGTGAGAAAATAAAGTTACATATATATGTAATTAGTTATGGATTCTGATGCTTTAACAATAGACATTTGATAATAGTAACCTGAAACTGACTGATCAACTGCATTCCTTATTATACTATCTAAGAGTACCTGCCTTTTTTTTAAAAAAAAAGGGGGGTTATATTCATTTTAATAAAAAGTAATATTTGAGCGATATATATAACATGGGTTTTGCTAAAAAAAGTCGTTGTGTAAAGCCATATTCTTGTACTGTATGCAATATGTGTTTTTCTAAAACAAGTGCTTTAATTAGACATAGTCTTGTTCATTCGGGTGAAAAACCTTATTCTTGCAATATGTGTAATAAGCGTTTTACTCAAAAAAGTAATTTAAAAAATCATCACCTACTTCATTCTGGCAAAAAGCCTTATTCTTGTAGCACGTGCAATATGTGTTTTACTCGAAAAAATCAATTGAATACACATAATATTGTTCATACTGGTGAAAAGCCTTACTCCTGTAGTGTATGTAATATGTGTTTTTCTGAAAAAAGTGTTTTAAATAGACATAAACTTGTTCATACTGGTGAAAAACCTTTTTCTTGTAATCTCTGCAATATGTGTTTTTCTCAAAAAGGTCATTTAAATCGACATATTCTTGCTCATACTGGTGAAAAACCTTATTCTTGTAATGTGTGTAATAAACGTTTTTCTCAAAAAACTTACTTAAATAAACATAGTTTAGTTCATTCAGGTGTAAGACCATACTCTTGTAGTATATGTAATATGGGTTTTTATCAAAAAAGTGATCTAAATAGACACAGTTTTGTTCATACTGGTGAGAAGCCTTATTCTTGTACTGTATGTAATAGGTCTTTTTCTCAAAAGAATCGTTTAAATATGCATAATCGTATTCATGCTGACAAAGAAGCGATTTAAATAGTCAAAATTTTGTTCTTATTATTGGAAAACTTTATTCTTGTAATGTATGTGAAATAAAAAAAAATCATAATCATTGTTAAAAGTTGTGAATTTTTAATCTTCATTTTAGTGAAAAGTCTTGTTCATTTAATATGTATGACATATCTTATTTGTGAGAAAGTCGTGTAAATGCACAAAGTCTGTTTCATACTGGTAAAAATCTGTAGTAATATGCAATGGACATTTTTCTGGAACTAGTCCTTTAATTAGACCTTGTTTTGTTCATTTGGATGAAAAACCTTACTCTTGTAACGTTCACAAGGTGAGTTTTATTCAACTAAGTGAGTTTTATTCAATTCAAAGACACAGCTTTGTTCATTCCGGTGAAAAGCCTTATTCTTGTAGTATTTGCAGCAAAAGTTTTTCTCAAAAAGGTCATTTAAATAAACATAATCTTGTCTCCATTCTGGTGCATGGCCATGTTCATGTAGTATGGGTTTTTGTCAAAAATGTGATTTAAATAGGCATTATCTTGTTCATACTGGTGAAAAGCCTTATTCTTTTACAATATGTAACAAGTGTTTTTTTTCGAAAAAATCATCTAAATACACATAATCGTACTCATATTGGTGAAAAGTCTTATTTTATATCATTTTTAAAGCTTAAAATGTATATTTTAATGTTATGCAGCTTGATTTTTATTAACTTTTAATCGATACCCTCCATTTTTAACTACGAACTCATGTTTAATTTTTTTCAAGAACTATGTAAAATAAAGGCCTTATTTAAATAGTTCGTTTTAATATTTGATAAAATTTTTCAGCATTTAGCCTATTTTGATTATTTTTTGCATTATTATACTATATTTATGTTCAGAAAAAATAATTATTTAAAAAAATAATTTTGTTGCATTGTAATTTTGTTGTAGAAAAAATATGATAGTTGAGCATGTTTTACTTTCCATCCAAGTTTTTTCTCCCTCAAAAACCAATCAGCGTCTTACGTTTCATGACGTCAACAAGGGGGCATATATAATTGCATATATAATTGTTTCTCGTCAGTTTTCATATATTCTGATAAATTTTAATCTCTCCCGATCGGTTTCGTCAGTTTTAATCCCGTGGAATATAATTTTGTGATTGTTGCCTTCATGTAAGTATGACTTTTTAAAAATCTAATTTTTTCAGAAATATTTTAATTTATAAATTAAATTATTGAAAGTACTTTCTTATTTTTATAGAATGGAGTGGAATAAAAATGCCATATACAAACTCATTGCTGAGTATAAGGAGAGACCGGAATTGTGGGATAGTAATATCCCATCATATTCCGATAGATATATAAGAGAGAAATCTCTAAATGACATTGCTAAGATCTTTGACACAGATGTTGAAATTGTGAAAAAAAAGATTAACAATCTGAGGACACAGTTTCTAGACAACCAAAAAAAAGTGATCAAGTCGAGGACAAGTGGAGCTGGTAAAATAAATATCACTTTCTTTCTTCCTTTTTTAAAGAATTTTTAAAAATTTAAATTAAACATTCATGAAGCTAGCGGATTAAACTAAATATTTATCACTATAAGCGTTTTATTTCAATCTACTTCAATTTAAATATAAAGCTTTAAAAGAAACGTTAATAGGTTGTTCTTTTTCTCAAAATTTTTTATTTCAATCTGTTAACATGGGATTTAAATGATTTATTTTTATTTTTAGAGTTACTATTTGCATAAAAAATTCTAGCACTTAACCAAATAATTTTATATATTATTAATATAATATACATTATTACCTAACTTTCAGTTAGTACAGTACAGAACCCGTTATCCGGAAATCAGAAAACCGGAAAACCAAAAAACCGGAGCGAAATTCGATAAATTTTCCCGCTATTTTTTAAAAATTTTTTTTTTTTCCTCATATGATTTTAGAATTTTTCTTTCTTTTTTGAAAGATGTTTACCCTAGCATCATTTTGGAAATAATTATTAGTGTATTACTTCGTTTTTTCAAGATTATTTCTAAATAAATTTTTTTTAGTTGGGTTTTACAATAAAAAAAAACGACTTTTTGTAGCGATTCAGAAAACCGGAAAAATCAGTTATCCGGAATAGCGATGGTCCCGATCGTTCCGGATAATCGGTTTCCTACTGCACTATTAAAATATTTTATTTTTGATGTTTTAGCATTATAAATAAAGTAAACAAAATATGTAATTTCAAAGCAAACGATTATTTTCTTTTGCTTTCTTTAAACAGAAATGTATTGAATACCTTTATATTTCTGCCCGAGTTCCCTACAATTAAAATACATAATTTAAGCTTTCTTTTGATAAAACTATAGAAATTTTGATGAATTATTTCCCTATCACAATTTATTATTTCCCAGGATAATACGAAACTGTACTGTTTTTCACGTACAAGTTATTGTCAATATTCTAATTAAAAAATATTTGTCATGATCTTTTCCAAGTACAATTTGCTGTTTCTGCATCTTTGATTGAACTAAATATGTAAATTCAAAACAATTACTTATTACTTTTATTTATATACTTTCATCAATATATATTTGCCTCAGTTTCTGTTCATTTTATAAAACTAAAATAATTAATTTAGATTTCATTTAAAAAAGAAATGTTAAACTATTTTCTTGGTACAATTTTTNAATGCTTGGAGATAATTTCATCTTGAATTACTGACATTATTTGATATTGTTTTTGCCTATTTTTTGAAGTAAGGGCATAAGTTAATACAAAGCAAATAATTATTACTCTCTAACTAAATATATGTTAAATGTATAAAATGAAAATAATTTATTTGAATTTTTACTTAAAATTAAAGAAATGTTGGTGGAATTAGAACAGTTATGAAGTAATATAATTGTAAACAAATCTTCATTTTCGTAAAATAATTATTGCCATTTACTATTATTCTCAGCTGAAGTTCAGTTTTTAACAGCTTGATTAACTAAGAGTTTCTGAAGTCACATATAATTTTAAATACGGATAAGATGATTATTATATTTTATTGCAGGTATCGGCGATGTCTTTGAACCTAAGTGGGTGTATTACAAAGAGATGATGTTTTTAAGACCAAGTACCATTCCTTGTGACAGTAGGAATAATTTAAAGGTTCGTATAAAAATAAGATTTTATCTTTAAAATTATGCAATATGTTATTGTTTGAAACCCAATAAAATATTTGATTTACATCTAGTTTAAAGCTATGAAATTAATGCATCTTTTTTTACTTAATTACAGCATAACTATTGTAATTAAACAGAAAAATTACTAAAATATCCTTATTAGTCCTATAATTTCTCACTATTGATTTTTTAATTTAAACTGTAAAGTCATCCATGAGGAAAGCAGGTTGTTTTGTTATGATGTTCGGGTGAGAATGTTATTAATCCTATTGATTTCAAATTTATAGAAATTTTGTTGGGAATCTCTTATAATGATTTTTCTTCACGAAACCGCATGATACCTTCTAACATTGCATTGCAAAATTTGGAGATACTTTCATCTGAAAAAACACATTTCAGTTTCAATTGATGAAGCCTATATAAGTCAAAAGTTATTAAATTTAAGTGAAATCAAGTGAAAAGTATTTAACACTATTTGAAAATTTACTTCTAAGTTAAATTATTGCCAAATTATTGTTCCTTTAAACCTAAAAACACGATAAGCAATTTCCGTAGAAGCACATTGATAAATTATTTTAAAAGTCGCATGAAGCTTTATTTCCTTACAGCAAAAGCAGAAGGAAATGGAGAAAACCTTCGAAGATTACTCCACGGATGAAGATCCCTATTTGAACACTCTTAACTCTACGAGCACCACACCAATCCATCAAAGAAAAAGAAAATGTACTCAGGAGAGTGATTTAATGGCTGCAGCCATTAACAGCGTCGCCAGAAAGGATGATTTGGATTGTTTCGGCTCGTACATCGCAGCGGAGTTGAGAACTTTGTCGCCAAGGAGCCGGACAGTTGCCAAATCACGTATATTTAATACACTTATGGAATTAAAAAAAGATTAAATAATTTATTTAAATTCAGTTTTTTTCCATCATTTTTACCAGAAATCATACAATATCAACATTTCTTATCGCACTGGTTGTTTGATATCATTAATTTTCAGAAAAATAATGTATTGCAGACAACAAATACCTTAATTAATGATTAATACGAAAAAACTATATTAAAAAAAATCAAACATCTAAGTAATTGCAAATCAGGGTAAAAGAAATGAAAAACATATAAAGGCAAACACTTTAAAAAAGACTGTTGCTACATTTGCAATTAAACAAAAGATCATAGTGTGCTCAACTGTTGAAAGCAAAATTTAACAAAACAAAAGAGGCAAAGAACAAAATTAAAGCTGGATAGGATACAAAACTTAACAATTTAACTTACAGAATTAACAACTTAAAAAAATTTTTAACATACTTCATTAAGAATTTTTTTTAGAATGCTTAAGTATTACTTTTTATTTCATAATGCTAGCAATTAATTTAAAAAAGAATTAATTGAGAATTATTTTTAGAATCTTTATACCTAACTGTTTAAAAAAAAAAAAAATTATTTTTGAAACTTGAACATAGCTATGCTGGCATTAGAGAATTGGCGATCGCAACACTCGAATACGCCACCTGGGGAGAGACCGGTTTCATGCCTTTAGCCCTTATCCCTTCCCTCCTCTTTTCAGCTATATAGGAATGTACTACGATATTTTCCCTTTTCTTAATATTTTTCCTTTTTATTTAATAAAAATATTTTTTAAAATTAGCGTGATACTTTTCTTTAGAACTATGTTTAATGTAGTTTGCAGTTCAATATAGTTTTCCAACTTAAAAGATTTTAATCTATATGAAAATCAGGAGAGAAACTAACGTACTTCCTTCCTCTATGACTTTCCACACGCTAATGGGGAAAGCATGTGAAGTGTTGCCACAGGTAAAGAGCTCTGCTCTACGCCACCTGCAGCCCATTTCGATCGCCATTGTACCTAATTCGTATCGTTACTAACGTTTTAAATAATTGAAATTTATCTAGAATTAGGTTAAAAATAAATTGAAATCAAAATATTAAGTACAGAATCGATTAATTAAATTGAATTTAACTGACATAAAATTAGAATAAAAAATAAATAAGATTTTAAACCATGGCATTTTGCCAACACCGTTGAAGTAAGTACAAAGTTCATCCCTAACTTCTCGAGCATTAAGAGTTGAAAGGGAAGAACTTTGCCTTGCGACACCTCTAATTCCAGCATAGCTATTTTCAGACCAGCAGGGAGCCCGATTAATTGCTCCTTCCTGAATGTTCTCCCGATTAAAAAAGTTAGGAGGACAGTACCTGCTGACAGAAGATTCAACTTTTTTAATATCTAGAGGGTTGACTCTTTGAAGGACTTCGAATCTGGCATATAAGATTGGCGATCGAAATGGGCCGCAGGTGGCGTAGAACAGAACTCTCTACCTATGGCAACACTTCCCATGCTTTCTCCAATAGCGTGTGGAAAGTCATAGAGGAAGGAAGTACGTCAGTTTCTCTCTTGAATTTCATATAGATTAAAATCTTTTAAGTTGGAAAACTATATGGAACTGAAAAGTACATTAAGCATAGTTCTACAGAAAAGTATCGCGGAAATTTAAAAAAATATTTTTATTAAATAAAAAGGGAAATATTAAGAAAAGGGAAAATATCGTAGCACATTCCTATACAACTGAAAAAAGGAGGAGAGGGAAGGGAGAAGGGCTAAAGGCATGAAACCGGTCTCTCCCCAGATGGCGTATTCGAGTGTTGCGATCGCCAATGCCAAATGCATTTTCGACATTCTAGCCCTGCTCAAGTGGTAATTAAATATCCCCTTTGTTCGTGTTAAATTCCGCTTTGGGTAAGGCTTCATCAAGTACGATTTAGGTGGAAAAACATCATCTGCGACCATCAAAAATGGGATTTCGCTATCATTAAATTGATTCAATAGCCTAGTAGAGCCTGGCACACCAAGTGCCCTGTTTTCAATAGCACTAAATAGGGTTGACTTAGAAAATATCGCGCTATCTGACAACCTGCCATTTGTGCCCACATAAATATACAAAAAATTACAGCTGGCATCAACTAGGGCAAACAGCACAATGCTGTTTGACAGCTAATTAAAAAGCTGGGAGCCATATTTCCGCTTACGGCGCACCAGAACATGCTTCCCTTCTAGGGAGCCAATGCAATTAGGAAAGTTCAATTTTTTCTCGAATTCCTTCGCAATGGCAATCCATTCTTCTTCAGTTGATGGAACCTAAAATATGAAAGCTTTATATAAGTTATACTATAAGACAAAGTAAATAAATATATTGTTAAGTTATATCAGTAATTAGGAGGATCCGAGATCTCTCAAAATAACATTGCAAGCTTTCTTGATCTAAATTAACACATTTTTAGAAATAATGCTAAAATTTTCATGCAGAACATATCACAAATGAGGAACTTGTATTATATGGTAATAAATCTATTAATATTATTTATATTTAAATCTTAATATAAATAAAATGATGAAAATCAATGGCGAAATATATTAATTGAAAAACATGCAGATATATTGATAATCATGCAGGTATACTGAAAACTGATGTAATTAGTTATGTTAAAATTTAAGTGAGAGCAAAAACAGTTCTATTACATTAAACATACCCGTATTTATTCTACCACTTTTTTTTTTAATCTCATTAATTCTCCAAAAAATATCACTTATCTGGTTCTTCCAAGTTCTTTAATTGTGTCGGTATATGATTTTTAGTTTGATTTCGTAGTGTTTCTCAATACTGTTTCTTTGATTATTTTATTTATTTTTAATTGATCCCGTGAAAAGAAAGGGTATACAACTAGTATTCTTTTAAAAATATAGCACATTAAAAAAAATGAACAAACAAATAAAAATATAGAGAAATATGATAATAAACTATTGAAAAAACACTCAACACCATGGCTCAAATAGAACATGCCAAAAAGTTACTCAAATTTTAATTTCTCGATTAGCAGAAAATCGAGTAAATTTCATCTCAATATAAATATTTGATTTGCAGAATTCTACAAATTAGCTGAGAAATCCTGGTATATACTTTATATTTTTCTCCTAAGGACAGAGTATTATCTTTCTGTCAGTTACTGTTGTACAGAGTAATCGACAATAGAATTGCACAGCTATTTGTGTCTATCTGGGAAACATTCCCAAGCAAGGTCCGGCGATATGCCATTACACTAATTATTTTTTAAAATAAAATAACAAAAGTTTACTCTCAATTGAATATAATCCTTTAATGCTGCATAAATTGCCTCACATGTCTCAGGAATAAAATTAGACAATGTCGATTTATCGATTCAAAACAAAAACATCAAGGAGGAATAGGAGTCTCCTGTGAAAAAATAAATAAACAGTATCTGTAGTATGAAAAGAACATATAAATAGAATAGAGTAATTCTTTTACAAACTAGACAATTGAGTGCTCTTTTTTTTCATAAGCAGAATTTTTTTATAAATATCAAGATTACACTATATTCTAAGAAATTAAATCACACTTAACATAAATCTTTCCTTATTTCATTAAATAGAAATCCTGCATGCACAGTCAAGTAAACTTTAATAAAAAATGATATTCTCAGACATTATATCATTTGCCTTTCATAAATCTCAGGTTAAACAGCACATCAATTAAAAAAAGTAAGCTAAATCAATGCATGGTTCATTTACTAACTGGAAAATTAAGAAAAATTAAGTGATTTTTCTTTTCATTAACAGAATCTTGTTTCAAACATCGAGATAGTTATTAAGAACTAGAAAATGAAATTTCATAAAAAATATAGACATTTACTTAATAAAAATCCAGAAAGAATAATCAAACAGAAGGATCTCCATTAATTATCTAGAGCAAATCATGATACTGAAAACTTCATGTTTTTAAGCTTATAAAATTTTTAAAAAAAAAAAATTAGATTTCCCCCTGTGTTGTTAAGTTGATCTTCTGACATTTAGTTTTTTAAGTCTTGTTCTTCATTGATTTTTTTTAAATCTATTCATTAGTACTTCTTTTTGTTTGGCAGTTTTTGGGACACAGCCTGGAAATTGCCAAAACATGGCGATTATTTTAGCGTAGATAAATATTCTCTATCAAGCAAATATTCTTAGCAAATATTCTCTATCGCTCAAAGCTTTAAAATAGTTGAATAAACTACACAATATACACAATTCTTAAGTTCAACAGAATTCATAATAATTTTTATTGGATTAATCAAGTTCGTGCATAACTTACTTATTAATAAAAAAATTCTGTCGATACTTGCCTGATGCTAAATATCTTAGCGTCACAGCTAATCTCTCAGCAGCAGGAATGTTGCCTTTCATGATAGTATTCTGTTTAGAGTGTAGCGTATCTGCCACTACAAAATTACAACTACAATTCACTAGTATATAAGACATGTTAACTTGACTCCATGTCGGGGTACCTTTTCATAGATGACGGTTGACATGGTCTCTAACTCCACCCCCCCCGTATTGGTGACCTTCGGAAGTGATGTGAACACGCCTATCTTGTCAGCAACGCCCACTTCGATATGAACACGCCTATCTTGACAGTAACGACCACTTCGAACTGGAAACACATACTTCGATGGATGATCCGCATTGAATAGTTGACTTGCTACTTGTGACTGCGACATTATCCACCTCCTCCCGCTGTTGCTACTCAGTCTCGTCTCGATCACTCACCACGTCTGCTTGCACTCGACAGCTAACGGCAACACAGCAGCCACTGCGACCTTGAAGTTAATACACCTCTCACATTCAGCACTCAAAAAATACGGTGATCTTAATGCATCTCTCCCGGCTTCTCATGAAAAACAGCAATGAATCAACTAGTGGTATTCGTTCATCGAATTCTATCGCAGATATAATTCTAGTGGGGGAGTACTGTAGCGTATCTGCCACTATAAAATTACAACTACAATTCACTAGTATATAAGACATGTTAACTTGACTCTATGTCGGGGTACCTTTTCATAGATGACGGTTGACATGGTCTAATACTCCTCTCCCCACAAGAGATCATGGGGAAAAATAATGAGAAAATTGAAAATATCGTAGTACATTCCTATACAACTGAAAAGAGGAGGAGAGGGAAGGGAGAAGGACCAAAGGCATGAAATCGGTCTCTCCCCAAATGGCGTATTCGAGCGTTGCGATCGCCAATTGTTTTCTACTGAAGGATTTTCTACGTCTGATTTAGAACTTCAAGACTAAAAAAAATCTTGAAATTTTTTTATTTCCATATGAGGAATTTTAGGATCGTTTTCTTCTTATTTTTTCTTAAATAAACTACACAAATATGAAAAACTTTGACTGGAGAGAGACAAATTCGAAATCCGCTTTCGATAGGCTGATTGGAATGGTTTGGCTGCAAAAACAACATTTTCCCTTGGTTTCTTCCTCCTCATCCCACCACGGAACCAACATTTCTAATTTTTAGTGTCCAAATGAAAACCTGATTGACCTGTTTTTCGCTGGTACATATTTTTCACCAATCAGTTTCTTATTCGCAGTCAATTTTTTCGCAAGCGAAGAAATCTCGGTCAGTGACAATGCTCTTTAGTAACTAGACAAAAATTCGAAATTACGTTTTTATAAAGACCTTTCACTCACACTGGATGCGTTTATGGATGGTGTTTTCCACACTAGAGAACGCTGCAAGCTCGGTGCCGCCTAAATTTCCGGGTTACTGTTTCCGTTGTATTTTAAAGCCATTTGGCATCATTGTGTTTTGAGATTCTTGCAAACATTGTAATTGATTACTTATTACTTTGTGTTTACAATGCTAACAATACTTGTGTTCACAATGCTAAAAGTGTTAACACTAAATTAAGATGGCGCACAACTTGCAACAAGAGCAAACAGTAATAAACTTATAGAAAGAGGCCAAATCAAGATTGCCAAAGAAGCGCGTTAATCAAAATCTAGCAACCATGTCGCCTTTTTTAACAATATATCTCTAAAAGAAAAAAAATTATCTATATATCTCTAAATAACTGAAACAAATTTTCCCTTTAAACTCACCAGAATTACATAATAACATTAATATCTTCTGAAATACGGCAGATTTGAGTTCAGAAATTATCTAATTTATTTCTTTTATTGAAAACAAAATTATCCGTTTGAAAATATCGCCTCGCAGAATAACATGTAGTAAGCAGCTGCAAACTCTCTAACCGGTTTCTAGAGCAGGCATACAGCTCGAGATTGTTAGTGTTTACATTTCTACTGAAAACGCCATCCATTTTGGATGCTAATCCATCAATCTTGTTCTCACTCGCATGTAAAAAATCTTATCCAATGAGAAGGATTTTCACGAAATGATTCTCTTCTTCTACGCAAGTGCATTCAGTTGTAAAAATTTGAAGTGAAGTGGGGAAAAATATTTACTTTTATTCTAAATTGTTGGCAATACTCTATCGTGTTTGTAAATATCCCGTTCAGACTTTTTTTTTACTGTTCTTTTATTAGTAGCAATTATTTTTTAATGAAAATCAATTTTTTTAAAAGTAATTTTTCTCTCAAGATGCCATAGTGCCCTTTCTTGGAGCTAAAAAATATTGGTGAGCATTGTAAATAAAAGAAGGCAAATTAGTCTGGTTATGATGTGATATGCTAATGAGATATCTATTTTCTATAATAGTCTCTTTGGTCTAAAATCTGTCTCTAATTTTTTTAAAAAAAGTCATTTTTCTGAATATTATTTTATTTTACCACAATATGAAATTCATTATTACTGTTGCAAATATCAATATATA